ATACTAAGATATTGTCCACCCAACCGTGAATAAACAATAACCGCCAAGTAAACGAAATTTCTCAGCAAATATCAGATTTTGCATAACTGTTATCGTTTATGAAATACAGGGCAATTTTGAAACTTCATACTTTTTGAACCTCCTCTATATATACGAAGTTTCTCAGCAAAAATGTCAAATTTAAATCCCATCCCATAGAAAATTTTACGCTGCATACAGTAGCACACCATTTTTGTCTCGGGGTATTGTTTTACAGATACGACTCGAACTTATGATTTTTCAAATCGAGCACCCTATATTTCATAAGCTCACTAAATACCTTATTCTCTAACTTTCAGAATGATACATAATGTATGAATATAAAATTCTCAAAAATGCTTCAAAATCACTAAAACATTGAATTTCAATAGTGGGCTATGAATTTTTCATATTGAAAAAGATCAAATTGAAACAATATTCCTTTCGACTACTTCATAAAGAGGGCAAAATAATACTCACACTAATTGACTCAAAATTCACGAAACTTAGAAACCTAATGGCAAAAAATGAATAGTTATAAAGAGTTCAGAAGGCAGACTCAGCTTTTGATTAAATATTTACTAGAACGACTGTATTTTAGAATTATTCAGTAACTTGATGTCCATTTTCTTTCTGAACAGTCCTTCCCAGATTGAATTTTGAAACCATGAAAGATTAGACAGGGTGATGGAAAACCCCTGAATATCAAACACAAAACAGCTCACAACATGATTTTCAGAAAGAAAATGACAAGGAATCCCTTCCTCCCACACATAAGCTTGTCAGGAGTAATCATATACTTTCGAAGACATTCATTTCGAGGCTTGGTATCACTATCAGCAATACCTTTCTGGGGAAAATAACGTGGGATCAATTCCTAAAAGTTCATCTCAAAAGCTTGGTTTTTTGTTTCGGGCCAGTAGTTGAAACTGTTGGATTGTGTCCAAAAAAGAGCAATACGTCTCGTGGGTGATGCCTTGCTCACAAACTCACTCACTTCTCTGGAACACCTTAGAAAAGTTGGCGATCTGGCTCTATTTCATAGATATTTTCATGGACGATGCTCTTCTGGAATATCAACAATTGTTGCTGCATTGGCAGTCCCCGCAAGATTAACCCGTCGAGTTGAGGCTTCGCACCGCTTCGTGGTCACCTTGGAAACCTGCAGAACATCTCTTTCTGAAGACTTGTTCATCCAACGAGCAGCGAGGCTCTGGAACCCATTGCCAAGGGAAATGTTCCTCGAGGCAAATAACCTCCAGAAATTCGAGAAAAACACAAATTCCTACCTCATCTCCCTTGGTTCTCACGATGTTCCCTGAACATCACCGGATATCCCTTTTTGTGGAAACCAGAACAGAAGAAAAAAAAACATGTATATGTCGAGTATACTCAAAACGAGAATTGTTATCTCCACTTCTTCAGAATCATTCACGCGTTGTGAAATATTTCGAATTGATTTTCTTCCTGCTTATGGGTGTAAGCTTCCCAGCTCGTAACCCCGTGAATAAATGAGTATCGATGAGAATTCGAACGTGAATTTATTATTCCCAAGTGACACGGCGATAAACTGGCCGAAATTGAAGTGGAACGTAATTAAAAATTATTCCGTCTCGCGATTTCACATCAGCCGTGGTAATTGGAATCACACCGTTCTTCATTAAGTGTTTATTTGAATTTCCCGCTCTCTAATGCAGGGGACGAAATCCCCTAATTGCTTCGTAAACATATTAATTTTTGATGTGGGATTCTATTTGGGAAGTAACTAGGAACACGAGTCGGTTCATTACGTCAACTTATTATACAGGAAATTTATAAGGGTTTTTTTCCACAATAATAAAATATAGATATGAGAACACTTGGTGGAACCAAGTCTAGTACAGAACACAATTCTCTATGTACTCGAGTTAATAACTAAACACAGTTGAGTTTTTGATGGGTTGAACACCATCTAGACGGTCTAGACCACATAGAAGGAAAGAAACACTCCTCAAAACTGAAGAACTCGTAAATGGGAGTGGCTGTTTGCCCGACTTAGACACAATGCTCAAAGTCAAATGAAATGTTATCAAATAAATACAAAAATCTCGAAGTTATTTCTACACAGTGTTCAATGGTAGATTCCGGGAGGAAAACAAATTATTTCCTGGCTAATGCTACGCAGAAAATGAAATTACATCCTCCCGAAATCTATGCATCGACTCGTATAAACGAATACTGAAACAAGTGATTCTTTCCTGAATGCCTATTGATTTCGATTTAACTAGGCCACGCTTGACACCTACATACCGGTTTCGAGCTCTTTTACTCTCATGATTACAGGGCAGACTCCATCCAGCAGTCCTAAGACCGCCGACTGAGCATAGCCTAGCCAAACAAGAATCAAGTTGGAATTATATTCTCTCAGAGGCGTCCTCTATAGACGAATATGATAGCAATGCCATCTGAGTAGAAAAGAGGAGAAGAAAAAATCAAAAACCAAAATTCTTCCACGGGAGTGGCTGGTGGCCCGACTGGTGTAATTTCAACTACGAAATAGTCACAATGATCGAAGTGGAATCAAATGTTGAATAAATCCAAAAAACAAAAAGTCATTTCCACACAATTTTCATTAAATGAACAACATTGGTAGATTTCTGGAGAGAAACAACCACTATTTGGCTAGTGCCTCCCGAAACCTATGCATCGAATCGTATAACAAGTGATTCTTGGCTGAATGCCTATTGATTTCGATTCAACTAGACCACGCTAGACACCTACATACCGGTTTCGAGCTCTTTGACTCTCATCAGTGCAGTAATTCTTTTCAATGTTGTTCGGAGACGAGTGACATTATTTGCTCTACCTGAATATTGTCGATCTGAATTAAAACATAGTAGGTGACCTAGTACGCGAGGATGTACAATCAGCTCTCGCCTACTAACTTCCTAACTAGGTTGTCATCTAGAACGACAATGACCTGGATCGTTCAGTTTTCCAGGGTAGTCTCAAACTATCTTAGAGCTGATAATTGGCGAGCTCAGCGCTTTGATAGCTGCTTGGCTATCAGACATGATCATCTCTTGCCTGTAGTAGTTCTTCTCAATGTTGAGTTGGTCACATTTTCCACTGGTATATACTATCGCCTGGAAGATACCATCCTTAGATAATATCATATATATCCACATCGAAATTTCAATATGATCCCTAATCGAGACCGTTATAAAATGAAGCTTACGAATTTCCTCTCATCTAATATCCTCATTCCACAAGTGATATAAAATTTCTCTGGAAACACATTTTGGATTCCATCCACCCTGCATCCCAATATCTTTCTCAGAGCAATATTGTTTTCCTCGACTCTGCTAACCCCCGGATTCCGGATCCGCCACATCAATTTAATTGCAAATACCACCTTCGGCCGCAATCAAACATTCATCTTTTCAATTTCAGACCGAGAAAACGTGCATCTGAATAGCAACGCGACGATCTCAAGAAGGCACCTTGGTAGAATGATAGGAATATTAACCAGGACCTTCATGTTAGTCTATACTGGGTGATAGTTTTTTTTTTTCAAATAGAGAGATTGATACGTTTACTTCCTTCTTCTCTTCTCCATTTCATGCACTTAAATCGGATGGCATCAAGGCATCATTCTAGAAGATACATATTTTTATAGCAGATGGTCTACCATTGGTGCAGACAGAAATTGCTTCGTGGACAGTGATTCCACTTTTCTGGTAACATTCGCTGATGGAACACATTCTCAGGTTGAAGTTACAGTTAACTGCAACCTATGAAACCGTCCTAAAATTAGGGCTTCGCGAGACGAAGACCATGGCATGACCAAGACTGGTCAGTCTTGGTCTTGATCTCGAAAAATGAATGTAGTCTTGGTCTTGATATTGGTCTTGATGTGTCAGGACCAAGAAGAAACTGGCCCAGGCTCTTGGTATTGGTCTCGAAAGTCAAGTCTTGGTCTTGGTCTTGGTCTCGTATCAAGACCAAGACAAAACCAATACTGAACTCTTGGTCTACCGAGAATACTTCAGACTCTGTGCTAGAATCTGAATTTGTACATCTTCGATAGCTTTCTTTTTGTATTTTCACCATTGAGCAACCAATGCCAGTTTTCGGGAGAGTCCTGGAGATACATCAAGTCACCTTGTCGATTTTCAATCACTATTTGTATGTGTGCTCCACATGATTTTTCATATAATTTATACATATAACCAAGTAACATTTCGAGGCAAAATCCAACATTCTAATTTCTATGGTCGAGAAATTGATATAAGTAAGATATGGTGTAAAAACTGATGCGCTTTTGTTTCAGAAATTTTACTCGACCTCTCGAAAACAGCGAGAGCAATGGTTCCGTAGATCTTCTAATAGATGGCGACATTTCACAATCATGGCATCTCTCAGTTTTGAAATTGTCGCAGATTTTTCGAATTCTGAGTTGAATATTCCCACTGTTACATAATTATGTTCCACGTGCCTAAAATGCCATTTGTCATTTCATTTCCACTCGTCACAGCAGCAACAGCAGCATCACCATCTAGCGGGAATATTTTGAATCAACGTCTTGCTCGTTGTGATGTAGAGAAATGATAGTAGGCGGTCGAGTGATTCTTCTGAAATTTCCAATACGTAATAATGACCGAATACGCGCACCATATCTTACTTCCATCAATGTCGGGAAAAAAGACGAATATGTACACCTATATATGATGACAAATAAAACGACAATGTAAGTTGATCTAGTCGTGGAATGGAGCAAATGAACGCATCTTAGATGTATTTCCATCAGGACTCAACATTCAGTTTCATTCACTATTTTCAAGTTTCAACCGACTAGTTGATCTTGAAGCGCCCGTATTCTAGATCTGGATCTCAATATTCATGCGGTTCTGTGTATTGTCACTTGTAATTTTGATACAACATCAGTCTGAACAACCAGGCGGTCATGTTCATCGAAGTAGGCATCAATTGAGTTTTCGTATTACTTGCTATAGTTTTCTTTCATCACGTTCCATTGTGTTTTTGCAGAAGGCAGCGACATGCAACAGCAGCAGCAGCAGCACCAGAAGTACTCGGAGTGGCGGAATCTCTGGTACCCCAACTTCGAGGACTTCTCCAGGGCAGAGGCCATCGCAGGTGGCGCTGAGAACAATACGATCACCAACGTCACTGTGCAGCTAGGAGCTACCGCCTATCTGCACTGTCACGTGAGGAGTGCCATCGACAGGACACTGTCAGGTGCAGAGGTAATTATATATTTGCCTAGTTATTCTCCTCATTTTATCCTGAGTAAATGGTGTCAGGGTGTTTCTGAAAGGTGTGTACAGTATGATACCACAGACTCCTGAGACCAAAGTGATATGATTGAACCAAACCTCTATACCAAAACGCTCCGTTTAGGCGCTTTATATAGAACGTTGGAATTGAATTTTTATTTTCAATTTTTTCGTATTTTCAATATTGTCTATGAATGTCGTTCTGAAATTTTGTATGCCCACTAATACGACTATTAGGCATACAAAACGTTCCATACCATATTGATTGACTACAAGATGTTACATATTTAGAGTACTGTTGACCAAAAAGTTGATTGAACTCTTTATGACTACGCCACTGAACAGATGTTATTCTTGATTTTTATTCAGTCATTGAATACCTATATTCCAGCTTCCTTGGAACTTTGTCATATTTTTATTGGTTTGCAAGTTGATTTACCTAATTCAATTTGATGCATACTTGATTCTCTTCAGAATTATCTATTTATTGTAGATTCGTTCTCGATTTTTGTATGAGATCATCAATCATATCAATGATATTCAATATGTGGCACACACTTCCCCAATTTCAACGCCCTGTAGCGTTTGAGAGGATTTTTGTATCATGTTCTCATTACGATGATCAACAGATATAATTCAATGTTCGACGTGGCAAATAGCCAGGAAGGTAGTTTTTTCTGTCAAATATACCGATGAAGAATAAATATTTCCATCACATAGAGAATCCGGATTCCCAATGTATTTCTTTGTACAGGGTGGCATTAAAATAAGTGGAAATATTTCAAACACTGAGAAAGCTCGACGTGTACTATCGAATGGCACTACTCAAAGAAAATTTAGGAATCAAAATGAAATCTGAGGTTAGCCCCCTTGTTCCACCCAAAGTTCCACACTGTAGCAAATCGTGACGTCACCTCTGCTGAAATTTTCATGCGGTAGGCACAATCATTCACATTGTTTTAAAGTGGAGTACCTACCTGATTCCTTTCTCGTATCTTGATCAATTTTCGCGATGAAATTTCTCGTTAATTGGAAGAATGGGCGTGTACACCTTAGTAGAACTTTTGACTCAAACCATGTTCATAATGATCCTCTTATACATAAATAATAATCGACGACATAATTCGATCGAAAAATTAACTGGAATGCTTTATTTTTGGACATAAATAGCAGTACCTTCTGAAAACGGACCCTCTTATGACGTAGAAACTTCATCTCGTCATAGTTAAAAGAAAATACCAAACGCCCGACGGAGACTGAGGCAACTGATATATCAATTCTTTCAACTGTGATCTCGCGCTAATTCACTCTGTCAGAAATCATGTATCATTCATCTCTGTCTGGAATAGTCTTGTTTCAGTATTAGGGGTTTGACGTCACATCATCGCCTCGTTTTCAGAGGTCCGAAAAATCGGGGATTTCAATAATTTTTTATAAAACGTAGGGAGCTCACAGCAAGAAAGGGTTTGCGGTGGTGAGCTAGTTTGGGTGAGTTCTATCGAATTATAAAATACAATTTTTTTGTGATATAAGCCCATCAGTAAAAATCTGATATAATGGGAATAATCATTAGACTGTATCATATTAATATGCTCAATATGTGCACTTATTTCGAAATCACCTCGTATATCCCTTTTTCAATGTTCATAATATATCTGAGAATAAACATTTTCGGTGGTATTGGTAGGTCTATAACTATTTTTTTGTATTCATTCAACTCCCAACGAGCGTGGTTCTAAAAAAAAAAAAAAAAATTGCGTGGTAAATTGGTACATTGGTACAAAATCGTCCCTGCATGACGTCTCCATCTCGTGATGAAATACTAGTTTCAATAAGGGCATATAAATTATAAATTCACGTCTCCAGATATTGACTACATATTTCACTCGGTAACCAGTGCGGGTTCCTTCCGATATGGAATCACACAGACATAAAATAAAATAATGAACACCTTGTCAGCGACAGGCCTGTCGCATGCAAAATAGTCTTGCTTGACCCTATTCCACTGCGAGGAGAAAAAATTCGCCTGACATAACATTCATCTTTCGTGGTAAGGACATCGATAACAAAGGCATCTTCTTATATTTAGATAGGATATGAATCGAATCGAACACTTTTTCTTCAGGCGTTTTCATGCGTCGTCTACCATATAAAACACGAGAGGCGTCTCTCAGCTCAAAATGATCTATACCGGGTGTCCCAAATCTCAGAAATTTCTGAGGAACAATCAATATAAATCCGGCTAATCTGTTTTGAAATTCGAATTCTGTCAAACTAGGGTCCCTTGATGGAAATTGACGTTAAAGTCATCCTAACAGGGTACGGACAGATCCTCGTCTCCTCTCACTCTAAAGTGTTTGTGAAACAGTTATATAGTTCCATCCTTATTCAATTCTAGGGAAAAACACTAGATTTTTGACATTGTTGTTTTTTAGGTTATATTGAGGTCACTGGCGTATCATACGTAATTTCCATATGGAATTCTCGATTCAACTATACCAAGATATAGATGGACAGTCCTCTAGATTTAGAGTTTACTACTCCAGCATAATCTTTGCGAGGTAGGGAACATATAAATTGTACTGAAAGCTTAATATATTTCACTAAGAGAGACTGTTCTTAGACTGTATACTAGAGTTGACTGAATTGACTGAATGAATTCTGATTTCAAGCTGAGCAGAAGTTTATCTATCAGCTTAATGAGCTGAGCCTTATGATTGAGAAATGATGGAAACCGAAACTACTGTACTTATTCATGTGTGCTCAATATATTTTTGGAAATCCAGCTCGGTGAGGATTTTATGGAGTGACTAATATCACGTATATCATGTATAAAACTTTGTCTAGATCATAATTAGAAATTTCTTTCGCTATACGGGCTGATTCACGGTGGCAGCGCTGAGAATATTTCAGGTCGATAGAACACAACTAATTATTCAAGGCACCAACTTTTCAGAATAATCCTGAGTTGCGTTTTCCAGAAACGTCTAATGTGCCATCCACCGTGAATCAGCCTGTATATTGGATTGGTCATCTTGAATTTTCCAAGTTTGACGAAACAATCATTATCTCCAACCCCGGAAAACCCCAGATATCTTCCAATTTTTAATAGAATCGAATCATAATTACAAAACTCGTTCGCCATATGATCTTCAACAAGTAAACACCCTAAAAAAAAAAAAAATGCGCCCATGGATGTGACGTGACAGCAATGTCAGGGATGCCAGTAGACAAAACTAAAGTCTCTACATCATTAAAAAAGAATGCAGCTATGATCTGTCCGTACCCTGTTAAGATGACTTTATCGTCAATTTCCATGTCAAACTATCCTAACGGTTGATATTACAAGCGTGATATCCATTGAGGATTCTGTGCTACAAACACATTTTATCAGGAGCGTTTCTGGGATAATAATGACATTGGGAAAACAATCATCCTTTTCGGCAAATTATTCACTCAGAAAGTTTCACCTGAATTTCATATACATGAAGTGCAGCTATCTAGTATATTAAGATCGCGAAAATGCTAGGAGGTGTCAGCTGAGAAAAATAACAAGAGCCCAGCGCCAAATTAGCACTGTCCTTTCCTTCTGTACCTATTGAAATTGTTTCCTTTCCACTCACAATTGTCTTCCAGGCAATTTTTATCTGTTCATCGTTCATCAGTTGCCTTCAACCAAAGGTATCTGGAAAAAATGGCACATATAACGAGGAAAATCACTGCGAAGATGTGTCCTAAAATAGGTGTTTTCGCTCGCTCTGCTTGCTAATCACTTTCCTCATGAATGTTGCTTAATTTCGAATACAGTATCTTTGGGAACACTGTTGAAGGTACAGTATTCTAGTATTGAAACATTCATAGAACGCATTGTGACTTATGCAGTTGTTAGATTAGGTTAGGTTCTGAGTGAGTGGAGTGATTAACGACTCTCCACAGCGGTCCATGATGGATCTATTGTGGGCCACCCCTAGATAACAGTTCACTGTAAAATCTACTTCTTCTCACAAAGTTCATGGTTGGATGAGGTGAGGTTTTTCTGAAGTCAGGTGCTTTTAATTTGGTGAAACCATGCAAATAGATGTTCAATCTCGGAGTCTAAGCAAGAGCAGAAACATAATATGTGTTCAGCTGTTTCGTCTTCCACATACTAGAAACGACAGTATATTCTTTGGTTCAAACCCATCCTTCCTAGGTTAGACGGCTGTGTCCCGTAAGCAGTCCATTCCACAATCTGCCTGGTTAAATTTTTCGATGGTTTCCTGTACAATCAACTTCTTCTCACGAAGTCCATGGTTGAATGAGGTGGGATCTTCCTGAAGTTAGGTGCCTCTAATTTGGTGAAACCATGCAAATATGTCCGACCTCGCAATCTAAGCAAGAGCACGAACATAATATGTGTTCAGCTGTATCGTCTTCCACACACCAGAAACGACAGTATATTCGTTGTTTCAAACCCAGCCTTCCTAGGTTACACGACTTCCGTGAGCAGTCTTGTCCGGAGTGGCTGGTTATTCCTGCAACAATACACAATATGCTTGGTAGAATTTTTGAATGGTTCAAGCAGGAACCCCTTTTTTCGAGTAAGTCAATCCTGGTCAGACCAGTACGCGCGTCTCACCCTCTTATAGCACCAAAGTTATGGTACTATGAACACAGATTCCGTTTCCTGTTTGGCAAGGATGTCGGTTTTCTCTTTGCCCTTCACCCCCTGGTGTCCGTGTACCCACAGAAAAGTCACTCAGTCTTGGGATTTATCTCACTAAAGCTCCATGCGTCAAGATAAGCCTGATTCTCTGATATTTTGAATTTTGAAGAGGAGTCAGGAGAGGGAATGTATTTTGGAATAATGAAATTTAAAAGGAATCCTGATTGGCAATGCATCAAAATGTTTGCATGTTTCATGAAGAATCATTCAAAGTGTTTCGTTAATTTGCTATGATATCAGGTTGATTGACGAAAATTCGATCGATAACATGATTGTGTCGCCATATTCATTTTAGAAGAAATGTCAGCTGTGCCGCCATTCCAGACACGAATGTCCACCTGTGAAAATATCTATCAGAGTCTATGTTCAAGACTCATACTCAGAAAAGATTCGAGAAAACCGACAAAAAAGATTTGTTCTCAATGCAACTGTAATATCTGTGCGATTAAAATAAGATCTCAATGCATACAGGGTGTCCAGAGATGGAACCAACAAAACTAATGGGGTTATAGGTACTGTCAATATGATTGCAAAATGCCATATACAAATCATGGAAACCACCCATCCTCAAAGTGGTCCAGTATTTTTCAAAGAGAGGAAAAGAAACGAACTCAAAGTCGGTAGACGACAAAATTTAATATGAAACACTCATGTGTGTGACTAGTTTTGGCACCATGGCCATCATTAGACACGATAGTAAGGTAGAAGTACCTGGAAATTACAAAGATCTTGAATCTAAGACAATATGTCAGCTGAGAAACTAACTACATAACTGAAGAATTTTTAATCAGGTCGTATAAGGAGAAATCAGTCCGGTTTGAGACTAAATGACTTTTAAACAACTGAACAGCCAAGAAAACTTAACTAGGAGTTAACATCGGTACCTGAATTAAACGAGAATTCATAAAAATCTACTCAAGCAATTCCTTTTGATTATTATTATTATTATTATACAGTGTGAGTTATTCCCACAATAACTCAACATAGAAAAAAAAATCCGGTCTTGATATTGGATTCAACCAAAGGGCTACTTGTTAAAGTGTTCGAGTTTAATCCATGTACCAAATTTGCACTCAATCGGGTAAACCCTGTATTCAATATGACAGATGAAATTTTTCATCAGAATCCCCAAATCACTCTGTATGTCAGTAACGATGTACTATTGGAATATGGAAAGAATAGCCTAGAGAGATGACAGCTTCATTTTTTTACAGAGTTCTTGGAAATAAGCGAAGTGCCTTAAACATGATCTTCGATTTCACTTCCGTCCACATTTCGCATAAATTTTCAATGAAGACTTCTGATACATACAAAAATTGTTCGAATAATTCTGATTGTTTCCGATTGCAAATTGCAACAAAATTCGAGATGACAATTGACACTTCCTACAATTGGCAAGCCGGATAGGACTCAAACGACTAAAGGTGTGTGTGTGTTTAAAAAACTGTGTTGCCATGGTAATGTGTTCAAGAAATAATATTGCCATGGTAATGTGTTTTCTTCGAATAAATCACAGATCGTCAATCCATGATCAATCGATAATCTAGCGTGGTACCTATTCGAACGCTAAATGTCATTTTAGTTATGTGGGTAGAAAAGTATTGTTTTTTTTTTGTTGCAGCAAGTCTCCTGGGTAAGACGAAGGGACTGGCACATCCTTTCTTCGGGAGTTTTTACGTACACAAACGACGAGCGATTCCAAATTCTGCACGCTGAAGGTTCAGATGACTGGACCCTTCAGATCAAGTACGTCCAAAAGAGAGACAACGGGACGTATGAATGCCAAGTGAGTTTCCACACTATGCCTTTCATTCCCTTCCAATTCATAACATATAATATGAATTCCGAAATGATGAAATTTGACAAAATGGTGAATTTTCAATGCAAATTCCACAAAAATCGAGATCCTGCTCAATATGAATCCTTTATTTAGTCAATTTGGCTGAATCACATTTCAAAGTGATTCTATTTTATGATTTGGTTTCCATGAAAACGGATATCCTATAATGTTCAGAGAACATGAAAAACATATCCCTTGGCAATGTGTTCCAGAGCCTTGCTGTTCGTTGAATGAGCGAGTCTTTGGAAAGAGATGTTCTGCAGGTCTCCTAAGTAACCACGAAAGGGTGCGAAGCCTCAACTCGACGGGTTAATCTCGCGGGGCATGCCAAGGGAAGAAAATTCTTTGATATTCCAGAAGAGCATCGTCCATGGAAATATCTATGAAATAGAGCCAGATCGCCAACTTTTCTACGGTGTTCCAGAGGAGTGAGTGAGTTTGTTAGCGAGGCATTACCCACGAGAGGAATTGCCCTTTTTGGATAGAATCCAACAGTTTCAGGGTATGTTTGGGTGCTGCACTCCAAATATGGGAACAGTATTCCAGGACAGGTCGGATCTGTGCCTCAGCAGCTGACTGAAAGTGAAAAAGCTCCTGGCCCGAAACAGAAAACCAAGTTTTTGGGATGCACTTCTAGCAATTGATCTAACGTGATTTTCCCAAGAAATATTTTTGCTGATAGTAATACCAATCATCGAAATGAATGTCTTCAAAGGTATGGTTACTCCTGACAAGCTTATGTTGGGTACAGTGAAATCGGCTTCACTAGAGAAAAGGCATGCTTGTGTTTTGTTTGCATTGAAATCTACCAAGTTATTGGTTCACCATTCGAGAATTGTTGCCAAGTCCATATTTATGTTGTCAACATTTCTCCCTCGTTCGTTCCTGATTTGCCTGGCTGGTATTGGAGCCCTGGAAGAGAGGGCGGTATGGAGGGTACTATCATCCGCGAAACTGTGTACTGGACATGCAATGATTACAATGCATAATCAATGCATATATATTCTTAGGTTGATATAAAGTTAGTTTGAAAAATGAGCAATTGGATACAACATTATATTCTAACATATTAGGCTTTCATACCCTTGTCAACAACAACAAAATGGATCATGATAAAATATTTTCAAACAATATAGGGCACATATTATCATTGGAATACAAACGTACTGCCGCACTCACACACACTAGGTACTATACTCACCCTTCCACATTTATAATGATTATTTGATGGATATACAGCTATGATATTTGAATATCGAAACTATCTAGACAGAATGAGGCAGTGGCTACTAAGAGTTTTCTCGGTTGAGAAAATATGATTTTAACTTCGTCTTGAAGAATGTTAGGGATGTTGAAACTTTCATCTCTTCTGGCGAAACATTATATATGTAGCTAACAAGTCCTTTGAAGAATACAGAATTTCGAAAGTGTGTTGATGTGACTTGATGAATGTGAATGTCAGTTCTGTACCTTGTATTGTAACTATGAATCTGGTCATTGTAAATAACTTTTTCTTGCAAATATGCTGAAGAATTTCTTATTCTAAAATTTTGAATTCATGTTTAGTAGAGAAGGAAATAAGATTGGTAACCATTCTAGTTCCTTCAACATATTTTTAATAGTGTTAGTCTTCTTCAATTCAAAGTTATGCACATGGCTCTATTTTGGAGTGTCTGTATGAACGAGCTAACTCATTTCGCTTCAGTAAATACAGAACTGTGGAACAATCAGCAAAGTGAGGAAGCATCAATGAATTAATAGAAGATAAAAGATACTTTGAATTCTTTGGAATCCATAAAATATCGTATGGAGGCTTCAATTTAGTGTAGATTCAGCATCAGGAAGTATGTCCAGGGTTCCGATATCGAAAATAGCACGAAGAAATATAACTTCCAATTGAAGATGACTTCTAGTTGTGTTCAACAAGAAGTCGAAATACATTCATTCGGAAAGGAACTCGGAATTCTTCAGAGCATGTTTTTGATTTTTCATTTGAAAATATCATCAATAGAGGGAAATTTTGCAAGTATCATGAGATCCATATCATGATATATCTCTCATGTTCCTTAGAAATCCCTGAAAAGTCATCAAAAGATGTCCGGGAGACATTTTCGAATACTGCCTAAAGTTGTTCCCATATTGTCCTATGCATATTTCCATTCGTGATTCAACATAATTATGGCAACTGTGCTATGGTTTTATTCCTCTACCTACGAAACCTTGACGTCAGTTTTCATTCGCGGTAAATTTCCTACAGTTTGAAAATTACCGTGGCAATATTGACGATTTGAGCACCTTGAAATCGACCAAAACACTCTAAGAGAATATGAAATCAAAAAGTAATCAATTAATAATTCTATTTGAGAAATAAAAGGAATAGTCCACTCACCTGCTACCACGATAGACCCTGAGAAAATGTAATCATCCACCCACTTTCCATGTCACAAATTCATATACAATAGTCAAATTGATTGGGACAATAATTACTGGAGAAAAATAACAGAACATTCAAATAGCTTATATTATTCAATCCATAAAAAAACTGTCAAAGAAAGCAGAGGTATATTCAGTAACAATGACAATATAAAGTGCTTCACCATTATGATTCGATTGAATACAGATCATGGATATTTCCATATCATTTGCATGAAATCGGAGTGTAACCTAGATAACGAAATTACCGATTTGAGTCTGATAATTTTTTCAAGTTGTTCTCAGCATTGTCTGCTAAATATGGAGAAAAAATCTAGTGAAAAATTCATTACACGCATCTGCTTACATGATGATGGAGTAACCCATGTATCAGTAGGTTTCTAGAAATAATCTTCATATAAATTGGTTCAATTCATCATCATTCAAAAATAATATCAGAATTTATCATTCAACAATTTCTAAAGCGAACATAGTACTCAATGATTAAGTAGGTGAGTAGCCAATACCTATGTGAAATCATAGAAAACTGATATCCATAAATCAAACAAATTGATATTTACATTGGGAGATCACATATACTCACACAGAAAAAATGGAATTGTTGAATCAAGCAAAATTTGATTGAATGGAGCATATAAAAGTGTCATATATGCACGACAAAATTTAATCTTGCAATGAGTAAATCTATATCTTGTTTCAGAGCGAATCTGAAGTTTGAATCAAGTAAATATGTCTTGCATTAACTCTGGATCTTCTTCAATCAAGCACATCCATGAATTGTTCATGAAGAGATATTGAATTGGCTCAAACAAACATTTTGTTCTATTCAAAATAGCAAGATATTAATTCAATCAAATATTCAGTTGATTCAACGAATTATTTGGTTCATTCAATGAAATATTCGGTTGAGTCAATGAAATATTTGGTTAATTCAATGAAATATTTTGTTGATTCAAGAGAAACTATATATCCATTCGACAAATTGTTTTGTTGAACCAAATTCAATATTCGGGAATTTTCTGAAATTTCAGATCAATAGAATGAACAAAACTAGGAAACTAGTCGACTCCTAGCATAGATCTTCAGTATTTACTCCACTTTATCTGATGGAAAACCATTTTGGAATTGCTAATCATCCTAAGTTCGATTTATCCAGCTGATATTTCAAACACGAAGAATCAGGCTTCACGTATATAATGAGCTCGAGGCAGGCAAAGACGAGGCGGAATGATCGCCATCTTGAGGCGAAAATTTAAGTTGATGTAGAATGGACAAAATATTTCATTGATATTACATATTTCGTTGCTCTATTCAAGCAAATGATCCGTTCGAAACGAGTTCATTGATACATCGGAATAAGAAAACTTGTATGTTGTTTCAAAGATATATTATCATCATAATGATCATTGTTTGATCAAATCAACGAAATGTTTATATTTGAATATTATACTGTTGATTCAATTAGACTACATTCTTGATTTGATCAAGCTGCCTCCATGGAACATGTATCTGGTTGATTCAACAAAAAGTTGGTCAGTCCAACAAAAATAACTCAAGCATAAATAATTTGTTGATGCAACAAATCCTTTTTTTTCGTGCAATGAGTGTGAGGAAGAAACTCCTTCCTGGAAGGAGAACCCAACCTGTGCTTCCACATTCATTTATCATATCAATATAAAATCAACACTTACCCCAAAAATTCAAATGGATTGATCCTTTTCTAAGCAACTCTCTTTCGTGTTTTGTCACCTCAATATTCCTCCTCAAAATTGTTGCTACAGACACTACAAAAGTCCCCAATTTTGTAACTTTCAACACCTGAAGTGAATGAGACGTAGAATCAGTAGTATCGATTATTAGCTTTTGATCAGGCCTCTGATTGTTTCTCTTGAGCCTGTACCACTCAATATCGAATGTACCCATTTGCTTCGCAAAAAAATATCACTTGGAAATCCATGAATAGAAACAGGTTTCACACTTTCTGGTAGGAACAATAAGAGGAGGCAAAGTTTGTTACAAATTATTGATCAGAATGAACTACTATAATACTGGGAGCACAACAAATTATATGTATAAACGAAATGAATTTTAGAACGATGAGAATTGAAAATGAATGTTATTTTAGAGAGGGTTGGTGTTCTGCTACCAACATCGGGGACAAAAATATTTTCGACCAATTAGTGGAATTTTTGAGAAAAAATATCAGTTGAATATAAACGAAGGATTGAATTATTCACGGCTGGAGAGCTAATATTCATAGCCATAGAAGAAGGAAAGAAGTTATGAGCAGCCGCATCTGAAGTCTGAACAAGCATAACTTTTGATTTTTCATGAAGTCAGGCATACTTTGTCACAATGAATTGGATATATAACCTTGAGAGGGAGGAGATATTGAACATAAAGAAGCTGAGCAACTTCAGATCTACATGGATGAATTTACTTTGATCATAATGAAATCGAGCCGAACTGATATAGGCTCCATCAAGTCGTCTCGTTTAGCTGAAAATAGATCT